TGATCCACCCGCCTCGGCCTCCCAAAGTGCTGGGATTACAGGCGTGAGCCACCGCGCCCGGCTTTTCTTTTTTTTTTTTTGAGACAGAGTCTTGCTGTGTTGCCCAGGCTGGAGTGCAGTGGCATGATCTTGGCTCACTGCAACCTCTGCCTCCCGAGTTCAAGCAATTCCCTGCGTCAGCCTCCTGAGTAGCTGAGATTATAGGCATGCATCACCACACTTGGCTAATTTTTGTATTTTTAGTAGCGACAGGGTTTCACCATCTTGGCCAGGGTGGTCTTCAACTCCTGACTTCGTGATCCACCTACCACAGCCTCCCAAAGTGCTGGGATTACAGGCATGAGCCACCGCACCTGGCCCAATTTTTGTATTTTCAATAGAGACGGGGTTTCACCACATTGGCCAGGATGGTTTTGATCTCTTGACCTTGTGAGCCCCCACCCTCGACTTCCCAAAGTGCTGGGATTACAGGCGTGAGCCACCGCGCCCGGCGGCTTTTGACTTTTCAAACTATGAAGCAAATAGTTTTATTTTATACACAGGGTCAGGCTGTGGATCTGGCATGTGACTAGGGTATTTGGACCTAGGGAGAGGTCAGTCTCAGGACAAGCACATGGAAGAAGGGAGCGCTGGCTCACCCCGTCCTAGTCCCGGGGGCTCCCAGGTTCGTGCTGAGAGTTCCTATTGGGCATGCCTGGGGTGAGGCCACCACCATGTCCTTTCTTGAGGACCCGATGCTGCTGGGAAAAAACTCAGCCACCAGTGAAGAGAGCTGTCCTTGTTTGGAGGCTCATTTTTGCCTCAGCTTTTTGATGAAGGAAACCTCGTCTCGATTCCGGATGCCGTAGTCTCGGAGCTTCTTCCTATCTTCTGTGAGCTTCTCTCCTGCAGAGGTCAGATGGTACGTCCTCCACACATAGGACCAGCTGATGTGCTGAATGCCCCCTTCACGCTCCTGCTTGAGCTGCATGTATCTCTGGATGGCCTTCTTCAGGTCCAGGACCGTGGCACTCTGCACTACAACCACAGGCATCACTTCTCCATCCATCTTGCACACTCGGACCGTCATTGCCTGGCCGTATTCTAGGGCTATTTGGGAGTTGACTTCTTCCAAAGTAACCTGGATCGGCAGATCGCAGAGCAGCGGGTCCTGCACCACCATGGCCAGACCCTCCTGGAACACGTCCACGGCCTCGGAGTGCGGCAGCGCCTCCTCCTCGTCCTCATCGTCCTCCGGCGCCTCGGGCCGACTCGCGGCCTCCGGCTGCTCCAGGACGGCGCGTCTCAGCAGGGATCCGCCCGCGCTGCCCGGCCGCACTACTCTTAAGGTTATTTATATAACTGGTTTCACAAGCATGATTTGTAAGACTGAATTATAAACAATTATATTTTGTTCTTCTACTGTCCCTTTTCATTTCTCTCAGTGAACTGGTATTTCCTCTGCCCCTTGATAAACCTTGTGCAGGTTCATGATTTTTCTGGACCCTCAGATAATTACAGGTTCTATGATCATATTTCATACATTGCAGCCTCAATTTAGTAGGTAGAATGTAAGCATAAGTGAGTGCCTGAGTCAGCTAATGCTGCCAAAACAAAATATTATAGACCGGGTGGCTTAAACAACAAATTCAATTCTCATAGTTCCGGAGGCTGACAAGTTCAAGTTCAGACTGCTGGCAGATTCAGTGCTTGGTGTGGCCCCTTTTCCTGGCTTGTGGATGGCCACCTTCTCACTGGATCTTCACATGGCAGAGAGAGGAAGCTCTAGTCTCTCTTCTTATAAGAGCACTGATTCCATCACAAAAAATCTACCCTCATGACCTCATCTAAACCTAATTACCGCCCAAAGATCTCACCTCCTAATACCCTCACGCTAGGGGCTAGAACTTCAATATATGAATTTGGGAGAGACTTAAACATTCAGTTCATAATATTCTGCCCTTTGCCCCTCTCAAAATTCACCCCCTTCTTGCATTTAAAATACATTCATTCCGTCTTAGTAAAAGATGTCTCAAAAGTCAACTCATTCCAGCATCAACTCTAAAGTTTAAAGTCTCATCTAAATATCATCTAAATCCAATATGAGCAGGACTCAAAATTCACCCTAAGGCAAAATTCCTTTGCAACTGTGGATCTGTGAAATCAGACAAATTATGTGCTTCCAAAATACAATGATGGAACAGGCTTAGGATAGATATTCCCATTCCAAAAGGGAAAAGTTGAAAGGTAGAAAAGGACAAGGACCGGGGAAATCTGAAACCTAGAAAGGCAATCTTCATTAGGCCTTAAAACTGAAATACAATCCTCTTTCACTCCATGAATGCTCTGCCCTGTAGGCCCGCTGGGGTGGTGGTCTCTACTTCCAGAACCACTGGAAGGTATCACCCCCATATTTCAGTGGGGTGGCCCTGCTTCTTCAGCTCAGTGTAGCACTGCCCACATGGCTCTCTGTGAGGGCCCCACTCTCATGACTGCTGAGTAGCAGACTCACTCTTTGAAACCAAGATGGAGGCAGTCTTGTTCCCAGGGGCCTGTGCACTCTGGGCCTGTGGTGGGAGTAGCAGCTCTGATGATGTCCGAATTGCCTTTGAGATCCTTCCTCTCTTTTCCTGAAGGATAATGCATATTGGCAGCCTTACTTAATTCCATCTTGTTTTCTCTTTTCCTTTTAGTCCCAACTGGCAGGGGACTAAAGCATCATTTCTTCTGGAATAATTCCATCTCTATTTCTGGCTTCTGCTGAGATGGCTGATTAGGTCCATAGTTTATACCCTACTCTCCCTCTTAAATGGTTGACCACACTCTTAATAATCTCTTTTTTTTTTCTATTTTTATTTTTTTAAATAGACATTTAAAACAATAACATTAAAACATTTAAAACATGGTCTTACCATGTTTCCCAGGCTGGTCCTGAATTCCTGAGCTCAAGTGATCTGCCTTGGCATCCCAAAATACTGTGATTATAGGTGCCAGCCACCATGCCCAGCTGAATTCTTCTGAACATGGTTTCTAATTTTTTTTTTTCAATAAAGACAGGCTAAGAATTTTCCAAATCTTTAAGTGCTGGTTCTTTTTTTGTTTTTGTTTTTTTGTTTTGTTTTCTTTTGTTGAGACGGAGTCTTACTCTATCGCCAGGCTGGAGTGCAGTGGCACGTTCTCAGCTCACTGCAGCCTCTGACTCCCTGGTTCAAGCGATTCTCCTGCCTCATCCTCCTGAGTAGCTGGGATTACAGGCACATGCCACCATGCTCAGCTAATTTCTGTATTTTTTGTAGAAACAGGGTTTCACCATGTTGGCTAGGATGGTCTTGATATTCTGATCTCGTGATCTGCCTGCCTAGGCCTCCCAAGGTGCTGGGCTTATCGGCGTGAGCCACTGCACCCGGCTGAGTGCTGGTTCTTTTTTGATTAACAATTTCTTCTTCAGTTCTTCGATTTTACTATCAAGAGAGAGACAGTAAAATTCTCTCTTCTTGAATTTTACTATCAGTAGTCAAGAGGAACCAAGCTACTCTTTCAACACTGTTTAGAAATGGCCTCAGCCAACTATCCAATTTCATTGCTTGAAAGTTCTACCTTCCACAAAACACTGGAGCATGAACACAATCCAGTAAGTTCTTTACCACTTTATAAAAAGGATTTTCTCCATTGTCCAATAACATGTTTCTCATTTCTGAGGCCTCACAGAATGGCCTTTGCCACCTATATTTCTGCCAACATTCTGTTCATGAGTATTTATGCATTCTCAAAGAAAGAAGATGGAAGCTCTTTTCGAGTCTTCACCAGAATCATCTTTGGCAATTCTTTCACAGTAACCTTGGCTTTTTCTAGCATGTATCTCAAAACTCTTCTAGCCTTCACCCATCCACCCATCACCCTGCACCATGACTGCTTCCACATTTTTAGAATTTAACTAAAAAAATGTATATAATGTAATTCAGAAGATCCCAAGATATCCATTATGCACTGTATGGATGTCAATTTCACTATGCAAGTTTCACCATGCAAATTATTCCTCCCTCTGAAATACTTTAGTCTTTTAAACATTTTTTTTTTTTTTAATTTGACATTCAGGAGATACAGGTACAGGTTTGTTATGTGAATATATTGTGTAATGCTGAGGTTTGGGCTTCTGAACTGCCACCCAAATGGTGAACATGGTGCCCAATAGGTAGTTCTTTAACTCTTTCCTCCCTCCTTCCCTTTCCCCTTTTGGAGTTCCCAGTGTCTGTTGTTTCTATCTTTATGCCTGTGTGTGTTCCGTGTTTATCTCCCTCCCATTTATAAGTGAAAACAGCTAGTATTTAATTTTGTTTCTGTGTTAATTCACTTAAGATGATGGCTTCTAGCTCCATCCATGTTACTGCAGAGGACATCTTTTTTATGGCTGTATAGTATTCCATGGTGCATATGTATCACATTTTCTTTTCCAATCCATCATTGATGGGCACATATGTTGATTCCACGTCTTTGCTATTTTCATAGATTTGTTATAGCAGCACCCATCCTGGCTCCAATTTCTGTCTCAGCTTGAGCTGCCATAGCAAAACAACAATGAGCAACAGGAAAGATTAGCAGATTTAATAATTCTCCTACTCCAAGATAAGATGAGTGCATTAACAAACAAAACAAAATAATGATGACAAACAGGATCTGACAAAAGCTGCCCCCCCATGCAAATCATAATTATAAGATGCTTACTTAAAGGAAGGATTGACATTCACCATTGTTAAGAGTAAACCTTGCCCTCAACGTTTCTTGTGTCTTGAGATATGATTAATTAGCACATGTAAAGAATTAGCACATGTAAAGAACATTTATTGAGGGTGTGCACACATTTTTTGCGGATATTGGTGAACAATAACAAAAATTAGAAACCTTTGTTTTTTTATTTCTATGCAAGCCTCGCTGCTTCCAGGAAGATGCCTACTGAGGTCTCCATTGAGCTCATACAGCGTTTGTGACTGGTCCCCCTAGATATCCTTTAATTAGGTCTCCATACTGATCTTTGGTGGGTTCGTTTTACAGTCCCCATTTTCCCAGTATGTTTGCAAACTTTCCAGGGACAAGTGGGCATCCCTGCTATTTAATACCCACAAAAAGTGTCTGATAATTCTCCATCGGTATGTTTATGCCTGCCATGAGTGCCCGCTTCCTTTTGGCCTAGAGTTTGGGAATCCTAGAATTGTTCCTCTCCAAGTGAAGACCAAGGAGTAGAGGATGAGGACAGGGAGAAGAAAAAGTTGAAAAAAAAAAAAATCAAAGAACCTAGAAAGTTTATTCTGTTGGATTTTGCAAAGAGCAGCAAGAAAAGCCAAATCTATCACAAAATATAACTTGATTTCTGATTTTATATTTAGTTCAGTGATTCAATGAAATAAAAAGGAAGCATTTAAGGAGTAAGAGACTGAGAAGTTCTAGGAAGCCATGCCCGCCTAGATAAGCAGCACCCTCAGCATCCGTGGTGCGTCTTTTCATGCTGCCATCTTTCCTTCTTTTGTTCCTTCCTTTCTCCACTCCTGTCTTTTATTTCTTTTGAATCTTTTGAGGACCTACTGTGTTGTTTGTACTGAGCTGGGTGCTGTTTTAGAGACAACAGAATTGTAAGGTATACCTAGAAGAAACTGCCCCCTCCACTTCTTTGGGAACAGAGTGAGACAGGAATAAAGAAACAAATACAAACTAACCAGAAGGACCAGAAATTTACACAGTTGATCTCATGATTTGCACTAACTATTTCCTAGAAAGTTGCCATAAACATTGCATTAGTGAATTCTAAACCTTCACTCCCAGGGGAAACATAGTAGGTTCCCGAGAGCCTCTGTTTACATTTTTTTCAATCAATCAATACAAAATCTCATTTTATATGTTTTCCTGTTTAAAGACACTTTTGTAATATATAGTTGATTCATTAACATTGAACTCGCAGCCAACAGCACTGTAACTCATGCTTGATGCAGTTTATCCAACACACATGCTTTCTCCCTAAAGCACACTGCAGTCTTCCTGAGCTTAACCCTAGGCAGCGCTTAGCACTCACTTGGGGAACATTTTAACCCGCAAAATCACCAAAGAAAAGCATACAAATGTGAAAAAAAGGTGACACTAGACTGTAAAAAGGACGCTCGTTTACAGTGTAAGTGCAGAAACAAGACGGTGGCGTGTGACTTTGTTTGACCTCAGTTGACACTGTGTGCCTCTGGAGACTCAAACTTCACAGCTCTGAGTGTGTCCAAGAGTGACCACAAAAGCTCTGTGAATATTGATTTTGGTGTGAATATTGATTTTGGGACAACACATAAATTTTGGCAAGTAG